GTTTGAGGGTTTGCTCTGATGCTCTCAGGCAATGGAGAACTTTCTCTGATTTTATCAGTATAACAGCAGAGGCTACATCATTGTGACAAAGACTACAAAAAAATATAAACTACATTTTGTCCTTAAAATGTTTAAACAAGCTAATGTTCCATAGCTCTGTTCATTTTCCTTTCAAAGCAAAATGAACTTTCCCTCATCTTCCAGAGTTTTAGACAAAGCGTGTTAATATAAAGCATGGATGAGAAGCACTGCCCAAGTCTCAAGATCTAACTTTGATCCAAGTTCAGTGTTACTGTTCCCAACTTCCCAATGAAAAACTGCTTTCTGCAAATGTTATTTAACACTGGCTAAGATTTTATATTTTCTCTGAATGGCCCTGATACGGAAAGTAGTATGTCTATGTAAGCAAGTGCAAAAATGAAAATATCATTACTGTATTATTTTATTCAAGCCAATATCCAGAAATACAGCATAAAACTCCGGTGATCTGGCCACTGACAGCTTTGCTATCTCAATTCACAGAGAACATCACCAAAGTATAGAAGTTGCAGCTACCTGAGGCTCAGAGAATTTGATTTCATTTATTCATTTCAGTGACATTTTTACTAGACTACAGTTTGGCATAGATTAGTCAGACACATCAAAAACCACATATTAACTGAGGTGAAGCTGTGATGACTGCAGTTGTCTAACAGTGTCAATTTGAATTTCAGATGAATATAATTTGTTAGCTCTAAATGACAGAGATATAATATAGATCTCATATATCACCAAAGTAATAAATAATTAGTGTGCAGAACTGCGTAAAATAGCAGGTTGAGCACACCTCCAAATTTTGAATCTTTATGTAGAAGTCAGTGATCAGGATGATCCATCTTTCCGCCTCAGATGATAAACCAGCTTTCTCACAACCCAACATGTAGCACCAAGTGGCACAGCGGGAATCGAGAGCTTCTGGAGGAGAAGCACAGCAGCAATTTCATTTCCTCAGAACTGTCCAAGATATTAACAAAAAGCCTTCAGAAAGAGCAATCTGATTGCGAACATGGCTCACTGGACCTCCCTCCTGTAGACATACTTGTATAGATAATAATCTCAATAAAATGTTGTATTGAACTGAATTGTTTGGGAGTGGGATGGGTGTTGTTAGAGGTAAGAGCACGTGGCAATTGTCTAGCCAACTGGCTGGCTTTCAGCACATTACCTCAGGTCTCTTAATGGGATTTTTTGAGGATCAGAATACATCTCCTGGGCAAAGCTTATCAGGCTCTTTGCAGGTAGTTATTTATAAGAAATGTTACCACAGATGCCAGGTGAAACTGTGCAGGGAGCGGTGTCAGCACACGCGTTAGTGGCTGTCTGCTGAGGCTCACCATCCTCCACAGGCAGCAGCAGAGCAGCGGCCCGATCACACCACCGGCCTGAGAGGGGACGTGGAGCCCTGCCATCAGAGGCACTGCTCGGATGCACTGTGCTGAGAGGTGAGCCTCTGATATGTTTGTAGAATAAACACAAATGGAGTCTGGAATCTGGATGACATTACAGTGTCTCACCAATATTAGCACAAATTTATTTTATCATTGCCTTTTGAAAGTGACTTTTAACGCAGACTGTTTTCTAAATGATCCTTAAAAGACACTCCCTTCTTCCTCATCACCTTCACCTAAGGCAATAGCATCCAGTAGCACTGATCTATTTGCTGCTAGTTTTCATTAATTTTACCCTCCCTAAGGGTGGTGCAGCTTTGGTGCCAGCTAATTAAAACCTATTTAGGGCTATTCAGTGCACTTTATCAGACCAGAATTAGCTCTGCTGCTTTAATGAAGACTACAGTTTTCTCTGTTATTACCAATTAAATGTTGTTATATCATCTTGCATTATATTTCTAACACATGGCAAAGTTAAAGATGTCTTTAGAACCACCTACCTGGATATATACAAAGATGCCACATTGAGTGATTGCCTCATGTTTCCTTACATTCTTTCACTTGACTCAATACATGTCATATACCTAAACATCAGTGAAATACTGGGAGAAGCTGCCAGGTTTATGCTCCCTCTAGGGAAACACCAAGTAAAATGCATTAATGAAAAATTGTCAATGTCTGGTAATGAATATTATTTATGTACAACAATTATTCAAAGTGGATAAGCTTTCACCGCCTTGAACTCATTGCTTCACTAATGAAGACTCTCAGAAAGAACATATGTCCCCCAGATTCATAACACTGCGTGCAAGGTTAATTCACCAGCACGGATAACCCGTATCTCAGTATATTCTGTACTGTTGTAGAATATAAAAAATGCTTCATTCTGAGTTAAATCAACTTGTCTGCTGGAACTTCTTTAGGGACAACTCTTGCTTCTTCCATGAACCTGTAATAAATTACCTGTCAATAGCAAAGCTGTGGGGTTTGAACCTGCACTCACGGAAGTCAGAGATAAAGCTCCCGTGTCAGTGGGAGCGCAGAACCAGAGTTTTTTTTTCAGTAGAGAAGTGACTGCAGCACACACCTGTTAGCTGCTTCTGAAAATATCCTTTAAAACTTGAGCACTACTGAAACTACTTATAAGTCCCACTAATTACCTGAAAAGATAGTACACCAAAGAGTAGAAATAGAAAACTCATTAAAGGCTTGACAGACTAGAAATCTGTTGTAATTTTACTATGCCTTAGTAGCATACACTGTACATAAGGACAGTATTTTAGGATTAAACTAAAATAGACGTGATTACAATCCACTCGGTACATTTTAGAATATGAGTTGAACTTGGTTTCCTTCCAGAATTTTTGCTGGGAACATGTTGAAGCAGACCTCTGTTCAAACTAATACTGCGAGCTAGAGTTGATGTTTCTCTGAGGAACAGAAGGAATATTTGGCTGAGGAACTTGATTCTGTCTCAGTATCATAATAGTCTGGCACAATGTGTGAAACTATTTTCATCACCCCCAAATCTCCTGTGCTGTGCCTTTATTGCTTCCACAACTGGCGTATACCTCTAAGAGCATCATGACCCTCCCCAGAAACAGCAGAAGCGCCCTGTGAGTTGAAGATGTTGCAGAAAATGAAACAGCTTCCAACCAGAGGTCCCTTCATTAGCAGGGAACTGCAGGATGTTTTCTAGTGGTACAGAAAGTGTTGGCTGGTGACACATTGGTTGTTCCTCTTGTTTTGGGCTTACAAGTGCATAAATGATGCCACTTAGCATTTGATGTGGAAAAGTAGGGCTAAAAATGAAAGTAACAGTAGATACAAGGATATTATCTGATCGCCACTGTGAGAAGTGTGTTTTTTTCACAGTGTTAAAGGGAAGCACTCACATACACAATGTGATGTGGATCATGAGGCAGTCTATGTACAGTTTGCCCCTGTCCACAATGTGAAACTTCTAGTTTCAGAAAGAAATCGGGGCACTGACATCAGGCTACTCAAGAACTTTGTTCATAAGCGCTGGGAGGAGAGAAGTTCAATCTGTCTTTGACATGGAAAGAAGCATTTGTATCGTGTTAATTGGGTAATAATAAAACCTTGTGATGTGTTAATTTGTTGAAGAGGAATGCATTAGGCTGGAGCTGAGGATACTTTGACATTGGATGATGAGATTTTTGATAGGCTATAGTAGCTACCCATTACACTGGGCTCGTCTCAAAATAAGATTTTAATGAAGTACTGTAAAGTCACTGCCACCGGACAGACTATTAATATGGAAGAGTCATAAATATAAACAAATTTATGTTTATGCAATAATGTATCCACGATCGTATTTAGCTTAATTAACAGGTAAACTGGATGGCTTGGATTATTAAAGAGGGGTTTGAAGAATGGATCTTGTGTGTTTTCTCTATTAGCCTCTGTTCATACATAAGCTTTTTCAGCTAAACCCAAGAAGTCATGACAACCTTGACACCTTTATGGGGTATAGGAGCCCCCACCAACTCCTGAATGACAGCAGCCACATGTGCGTGTGGTGAGAGCTGAGGGAGAAATTCTTCCCCACATTTCAATGCTTTTTTAAAAAGGCAAAATCAAGTCTAATCAAGTTTGGACAGTTTCATAACAAAGGGAATCAAGAAGGTCTGAGAGAACAAGCTCTTTTACTGCAACAGCTAAGTCAAAAGTTTAGACTAAGTTAAACTATTTGAGAATATCTGTATTGTTAATTTGGTCAGAACAGCTACAGTCCTGCACAACTGCAAATTCATGATGTGCAAATTAAAAGACAAATATTGAGGCACAAAAGTGGTCTGGAAACTCCTTCCCAGCTAGCTCCAGAGACTATGAGGAAGAGGTCCCCTTCCATGCTAAAACATGGAGCATCAGATTTTTTGTAGGTCAGCTACAAAATCATGCAATTTGTGGTCTTAATTCCACAGATACAAATTCAGCTCTGAAAATGTTAGCCAAAACATTGGCCGTCACACTTTCATCTCCTTATAGCCCTTACTTGAGCAGCATAAACACATATTCTCACACAGGGTGAATACAATTTCAGCATCATTCTGGTAAAAGCCTACATCTATTATAGTATCACTGATAATCCATTTTCAGCAAGAAATACAAATAATACACAACCCTGAGGTTTGTGTTTGAAGTGAAGCTACAGTGAATATCAACAGAGATGAAAATACAATATCCAGAGTTATCCTGAGGTTGTGCACTTGGAAATGTTGTTTGTGTAGGATTATCCTCTTCAAATAAAATGTCAATTTAATCAATAGTAAATTGAGCTGAAAACAACACACAGCTTTGAAAACATTTCAGGAAGACATCCAATATTTTTGGGACTCAAGCCAACAGAAATGGAAAGAACAGAAGGTAGTGTAGGTGGGGTAAATGGGGCCTAGCTGCTGCCTCATCAAGTGCTTATAACAGTCAAAACCATATAACAATCCATTAAAAACATATCTTGGGACTCATTTAGTAGCTGGCATCCAGCATGGCCTTCTCTCATGCATCTTTTGTCAAACATTATAATTGCTCTTCACAAGTAGGACTTACCGGTCTTTTCCTGTCTCCTTCTTGAACACTGCATCACAGTAACTCATGCGCTTCTCTGTTGTCACATAGATTTTGGCAGTTGGGTAGCTGTCAACAGTTCTCTTCAGCATGTTGTACACAATGCCATTTCCATCCTTCCTCATGTTTCGAAAAGGTCCCCAAATTACATAAACAGTGCTGTTGGTTTCTTTGAAAAAGTACTCGGGATTCTTGAGTAGGAGAGGCACGCTCGTGTGAGAGACCACTCTTACGGTTGTCCTCTTCCCAACATCCTCCTCGTAGCCCTTTGTGGGAGCATTGTTCATCCTCCATATGCACGAGGACTTGTCTATCTCAGCTCCCACCTTCTGGCCAGCCATCTGTCCTGAGTTTGAAACAATGGCACAGAGATCACAATCTAGTTGTAGAGGCTGGAAGAAAGAAAACAAAAATATATGGAAGTCCTTCTCTGTAAAGCATGGAGACTGAAAATTCAGTTAACAGAAAGATGAGCACAGTCCAACAAATTGATAATGATACTTCTTTATCAATCTCCTTGTGCTAGAGCTGGTGGAAAACCCTGCTGCCTCAAAGTTCCAAATGTAATCCTTTTTAGTGAAATAAGTGGCAGCTGTAATCTTCTCCTTTGTTCTCCACCTTGCAAAGTCAACTAGAAAAATAATAATTTATTTTTCTCTCTAAATGTTACTTTTTCCCCTAGAATACAATGAAAGAGAGCAGGAGCAGAGAACAATACTTAGATCAAGGCCTTTTCCTCTCTTAACAAGTTGTCAGCAACAGGAAAAATGTACAGAAAAAGTAATGCTGCGAATTTAACTATACACTGACTCTGGCTATGTGTCTGAATGAATAGTTCCCAAATTTGTGACAGAAGTCAAGTGCGAACCACAACTCTAACAAACAATCTGTAGGATGGAAACCCTGCAGCTGGAAAGAGGATGTAGACACCGGAATATGGTGTGCTCTCCAGAGAACAGCTACGACCCAATGAGAGGCAGATGGAGTGGTGACGTGTGAACTAGGAACTTATCATGGGCAAAGTGATGTCAAAGAGTGTTTCCTGAGTGCATTCCATGGTGCTATTTCTCCCATGTGAACTGAAACTAGTTATCTGTTCAACAGAGATATAGGTGCCTAACTGATGTTTCTTTTGTCAGAATAGAAATAAAAGATGGTGTCTTTTGGTTCTTTTGCTCTAAAAGATTAAAAGAGCAAAAGAACCAAAAGAGCTTTATGTTTAAGTTGCATTGTATGAAAACTTTGGATAGAAATCTGAAAAAAAAAAAAAAGAAAAAAGAAAAGAAAAAAAAAATAGATCCATCCATAAAAGCCACTGAAGATGATCCAAGTAACATATTGTCTGCAATTCTTTGATTTTTTTGTATGGTCACAGACTTGATCTTCTGTGCTGCTCTTGACTGGAAGCCAGTTACTTCAAGTAAATGTTTGTCAGTAATAATTCCTTTAATGTTCTTCTGACATTTAGTTTGATGAGACACTTTACTGACCAGCCTTGTGGTTATTTTCCTTCAAAATCACACTCCTTTTAGTTGATGTGGATAACAACCCAGCTACATTTGACCGCTATAACCTTAAGACCTGGTGGCTGACAAAACATCAGCTTTCTTTGGTAATGGTGTATTATGTAAGGACAAGAAATAAACATCTCAAGAGGGCCAAATTATAACAGAGAAAATATCAAATATTTGGATGATAATCATTATACTTAACAAAGGTGTGCCCTGCAAAACTACTACAATGAATTTCACAGTGGCAACATTTTGATTTCTCTGTTGTGATTGGCTTGATTTCTCTGTGTGAGTGGTTCCTGAGAGTGTTCTTTCCTCATTTCTTCAGGAGTTAAGGATGCCTGACTGCATGCAAAAGCATTGGCAACGTTTCCTTTACAGTACACCATGTATTTTTCATAGCTGTTGTAGTTTTAGAGAGCTGTCCTGCCTAGCTCCCTGACAGCAGGGCTGAAGTCCCAGGAGATACAGCTGAACACAACAGTCTCTCTGTTTACTGCTTAGTTACAGAAATCCTCTCTGAGATACATTATGAGGACATGGCTGGGTGACCTAAACAAATCCATAAGCATAACTCACATCCTAACATGAAGTGAATTGTTAAAGTCCCAATAGATTAATTTATGGCTTTCAGGGTGAACTTTCAAACTAACAAATGCTGAATATGAAACTGCTAGATAGGAAAAGTCAATTTGGTCAAGAATCTGGTCCCATTTAAATCTGTCTCAACCTTGGTGTTTTTTTCACAATATTCTTTCTTCTCCATTAAAATAGAGCTGCTCTCTTAAATTTGGAATTGTTTGATTCTCTGACCTTAGCTAGAAATGCATTGCACATTTTCTATTCACCGAGTGAAACTGTTCTGCTCGAATAAACTGAGTACACTCACTCCTGCAATTGTGTCCCCCACTTTTCCAGCTCTTTTGTTGTGATTCATTTATCTTGTTCCAATTTATAAAGCACTTTCATAATATCGAATGCCTGCACTAGGTCAACATATAATCTGCTCTTCTTCAATAGAAGTGGAAGTTTAACCCCTCCCAGCCCTATCTCAGAACAAATAATTTTACAATGTAGAGAAATTTTAGATGCCCTAATATGCATATTTCCCAAGGGAGAAAGAGTTAAAAGACCGACTGACACCCATGACAGACATCCCACTGATTGCAGCACCTCTCACTGAATTCAGTACCTTTTTGCATCATGTGTTCTGCAGCACATGGGAAAGCACACAGCGATATTAATTTGTTAAACCCCCATACGGAGACAGCCTCACTGCTTGCGGTCTTGGTTAATAACTGCTACACATAAAGGGGCAGTTTCAATAATTCACATATCTCAGCTTTCTCATTTTCCTCATTTAACATGAAATTCCCGTTTGTTATTACGCCCCACCTCCAATACGGCTGTTCCATCACTTTGGGACTGATGAGCTGCTCAAATGTAGTTTTTCTGCCACGGGGCTCCTATAGGATCCCAGGCACAGGGATTTGGGTGCCCAGAGGGGCCAGAACTGGGAAGCACCTGGATAATTGTGGCTGCTACTTCTGCTACTAAAATAGGACACATTTGGTGGCTCCTGACAACCTTTGGGAGCTGGAGAGATCTGCAGTTGTCCCTCTTCACCCCATACTTTGAGGTTTCTCTGTGCCTCACACCCTTTGCCTGTGCACGGATTTTTGGTCACCACGTTGCTAATGATAGCCTTAACCTGTATGAGAAAGTACCACTTTCTATTTAAATTGCTGTTTTGTTTTGTTTTGTTTTGTTTTATATTAAGGATGAACAGAAGCAGAGAGCCAATTCTTGCACAAAGAAACAGAATACAGAGATACTGAAACTGCGATTCAGAGAAAATGAGCCTCACTGGTGATGTTTTGCAGTTACCAGAAACTGGCTACAGGTGTCCATACTGCAAACACTGGGATAGCAATTAAATGCTAACTCAGCAGCAGCCTTATCAGAGAAGCCAAGGAACGAGTCTGGCAGGCAGTGCAAGCTATCCTCTTGCCCGCAGAGCAGTTCAGCAGCAATGGGGCTGAGAAAGACTGGCAGGAACATGGAAACCTGCACTGTTACTCCTTATGCTCTTTAGACCAAGAACAGCAGTTAAAGGTTTACCTGTACCTTTCACAAGATCTTCACTCACTTGCATGGTAGATGTATCAGCTAAAGAAAAAGAGATAAAGAACTTTTCTTCTCTTTTTATGTATTTAGACAGCTCCTTCACCTCTAGACACCATGGGCTCTGACCTAGTATCTTTGATAAGCTGCTTTTTGCTCCTCAAAAATTATTCATGTTGTCACTGTCCAGAAGGACACAGAACTCCTCAGCAGAGCAGCTGGGCACGATTCTGACAAATTGTCCCGTCTTTTTCCTGAGTGATAGATTGTAACCGTTGAGGAGCACTTATATTTTAATCAGTAAGGAAAATGAAATGTCTGACCTTTCCATTTCCTGTGCAAGCTTACAGACAATAGAAAAGATAATTAAAACTGTGAGTTAGGACTTGCAAAACAGTGCTGCATCTCTAGCAAAGAGAAATAGCTGTGTAATAAAGGTCACTTATCAAACAGCTCTAGTTATTAAATCTTTGCATTTAGTACTGAAGTGGCTTCACAGAATCAAAGGTCAAATCATTAAATAACAAAAACAGCCAGAATTAGAAAAGGTCACAAAACACGATTCTGTTCCACAGAGGATTTTGATATTTGGAAATGTTGTTACTTTCCAATCCGAACACCCCCTGCCCCCAGTCATTTCCAGTCTCCACCAGGTGAATGACATTCCAGCCCCAGGACCTTTTGTATGGGTCAGTTTCCCAATGGCACAGACCCCGGACTGCCAAGCTCCCCAGCCACAGCCCCATGGGGCTGCTGAAGGCCAAAGGGGATGTGACCTGAAGGACGTCTCTCAAACATCCTGGACAAACGTTCAGCACAACCCGTCTGATTTCTGAAGGTTGGTGGACCCCGACAGCACAATGCCTTGACAGAGCATTCCCACGCCAAGCTGACTTCTTCACCAGCGCTGTCTGATTCTTTTCACTTGGACCAAACCTAGCTCCGGACCTAAGCAGATGTATTTCACATAAATGAAAAGCTGAATTCCTCCGGAGAGTGCCTGGTGCCCTGGGTTCGTGGTGCCCTGCAGAGCTCACCCCAATCCACCAGCCCCGCTTCACTCTGCAAATCCCACAAGTAATCACAGCGATAGTTAGGAAATTCAGATTAAACTTTCCCAATTGTTACTTTAACAATATGATTGTAATTTTGTAAATTGGACGCAATGCCCATTCACTACATAATGAGGCAATTATTAGCAGCTCACCACATATTAATTTGCTCCTTTAATGTTGAAACAAATGAGATCTTTTCTTGTAATCATCCTATTTGAGTGAATTCTAACAAAGCCGATTGAACAAAGCTCCAGAGAGACTTTCTTTATTTCAATGCCATTTATTCTCCTACTCTTCTTGGACGTCTTTAGAGTTTCAGAGGATACAACATTTATAATGATGCCAACAGGGAATAGATTTTGCGTTTATTCTTCTTGATGTTCTTTTGAGGTCTTTCAAATGAAAGGTACAAGGGAGGCATTAACCATCCAGCATTGTTTTTATTGCCTTTCTCTACTTTACAAGCAAAAAATGTATTTTAATTTTCCCCGTGTTTCAGTAATGATTAACCAAGCTGGTTTTATCCACACCTACTCACTTTTTTCAGACCTTTGATTGACATGAAAGACTTGTCAGGCTTCTCTAAGTGAAAATTCAGCACATTTAAAGAAAATAAAGATAGCGCCATGTTTGCTTGCGTGTCTGATCCCCACAGGTCTGATTACACTGAGTTTGTGGTTATCCCCTCCTGTGGAAGTGCTT